GCTTACTTCGTCAGGGTTGTTGACAAAAAATAGATATACAACGGCACTGCCTCGGGTAGGGGTGGTTACTGATTGGTGTAGCCCAAAACAGTTAGAGAGGGCAAGAAAATCATTGCAGTGACCAGGATTTGCGCACTGAAATGAAGGACTCAACGTCGCCCAGTCTACACCTGGAGAATTGAAGTCGCCTGCTAATATTATGTCGTCGTTTGGGGTAAGCTTCCGTTAAGTGCGACAACTATACATGATATCATGAAATTCGCTGGCGTTTGTGTTTGGCGGACGATAACATGCGCCTATTAAAACTTTATGAAAACCCAGGTGCAGACGTATCCACTATGTTTCAAAACACGTGTCACAAGTTATTAACGTACATTTCATATTAGCTTTAACTGCAACGAGTACACGACCACACTTTGCATTTGGACGGTCTTTACGATATAGGTTGAATGATTTGTTCAGTGTTAACTTTTTGTTGGCTACGCTTGACGTCCACCAAGTTTCAATTCCAATGATTATGCCAGGTTTGCAAGAGGCGGTAAAGTAATCAAATTCATCTTGTTTTGAAAGTAAATTACAAAAATTTACAATAAAAAAGGATAATGTCGGGTTAACACAACGTTGACGTACATTCCAGTTTCGTCAGTCGTCTGCACGGAAAACATCAGGTGGTTTTCGAACAGATGCGACAGTTTCTATAGCACAGTTATACACATACGTTTCCTTACCAGCATGCAATTTATTGAACGAAAGTTTGTGCCTAATATGTTGATCACTAAACCGGGAGGCAAAATTCAGCAACTTTATTTTTTTCGAAACGTACTCCCGGAAAAAAAAATGCTCCTAAACCCATACTCTCGACGACACGTTTGTTTTAATTTGGCAGCCTCTCGGAGAACGTTACCTTTGGCTCTGAAGTTGAAGAAGCGGGCTATTATTAAACGGTTAGAACCTAGACGCTTTCGCCCCACTTGGTTGGCTTTTTCTAGTTCGCCAAAGTGAGGCGTCACCTTTTTTCTTTTTTTTTTTTTCTTCTTTTTCAAGTTAGATATCTTTTTTTTTTGTGTCACTCCAGGTTTTATTTTCACGTTCCGGCAAACCGCCAAATATACGATTGTTTCGGCGCATTTGCCCATTCATGTAGCCCAAAGAGTTCCTTAACCAAGAAAGTTGCTCGTATGCACTGGAAGATTCCCGCTCCACAATACCAATTGTTTCGGTGACGTTAGCCAGGTTTTCCTGTATTCGGTCGATTTCATCAACTGTGACTTCCAGGCTGGACATACGAGTGCCCAGGTATGCAATATCTTTGTTGATTTAGTTTAATTTGGATACGTTCTTCCTCTGGTTTCGATTGCTACTTGTTATAAGGCTATCAATGGATTCTTGCAGTTTATCTATTTTTTTTCAGTGTTAGTGGGACCTGGGTTTAGCTCAAAGTCACCTGTTTAAGAAAGTAGTAGAAAACGCACAGTCAGGACAGCGAGCAGTAAGAAATGACTAAATGGTTCCAAACTAGACATGTTGAACTGTTTTGGTGATAACTGGAGAGTCTTTCTTTTCGAGCATGGCAAACACCTTCTGACACGTATTCGGTACGTCACAACGTCAACGCCCTTTTATATAATCGGATGGGATTCGCAGCCAAAGCAACCTAAAAGATACGGCAAGAACTAAGGAATTACTTAAGAGTACACACCTGTGAAAGATACGCGAGTCGTTTAGTGCACTGGCAAAGCTTTGCTGCGAATCCTGAGGAGGCCGTCCTGCCGATCCTTTTTGTAGCCCTCTGATGAGGTCACGTGGTAGTGACGCGGCTTCAGCTAGCCAGATAATGATAGAGATCATTGTTCCTATCTCTGATAACGACGCTTGAGACGTGGGAAAAAAACGTTGCCCAGCCGGCAACATACGATGCTCGCTCAAGGGTGAGCGCTGCTCCTGTGAAAGATTATCGACACGTTTAGTGCACTGGCAAAGCTTGGCTGCAAACACACATTTAGTTTTCCCACTAAATTCAGCGGGGAACTAAATTGGTGTTGAGGTCATGTGGCGTCAGTTTTGCCTCTAAATTTAGGGGGGAAACCGACTTTCTGAGTCACGCGACATGAAGTCATGTGACATCATACTCCCCGCTAAATTCAGCGGGGAAACTGAATTGGTGATCACGGGTTCGACGATCGCGCGACCCAGCCTCTGCTGCGTCGCGCGATGACAGCGCAGCAGAGGTTGGTTGCACTATCTCTCCACGGGGCGCAGTGCCGCTGGGGCCGATATGCGCTCCGATGGCAAACCGAAACTTAAAAACCCGGCGAATTAGTGTGGTTTTTCAGAAAGCTGTAAAATGCTTCGCATGCCTTCCATCGTTCTGCAATTTGCTGATTTAATGTTTTTCGATGATGCTGAGCAATGTTCTATTTGAAACTATGCCCTAAAGACAATATTAAAAATATTAATTACGCAAAAATAAATAACATGTTAATTATCACGGACTTTGATCATTTTCCTAAATGGGGCCCTATCCCAGGACCAAAACGGCACAAGCCTTTCTTCGTTGCGATGAGTAGTTTTCGCAGGAGCGATTTGGCTTAAGTTCTCTGAAACACCCTAAATATGTGTGTGTATATATATATATATATATATATATATATATATATATATATATATATATATATATAGTGTAGACCGCATATAACGTATGTCGCGGGAGTCGAGAAAATCCTTACTTTAAGCGGTACCGCGCTATAACCACAACATCAATTTTTCAGGCCAAAATACATGCCATGAGACAACTTATCTTTGTAAAAGAATTTACTTTATATTAGAAGAAAAATAAAGCTTAGTTTGAAAAAAGTCTTTATTTCACCAGTTCACCAGACTAGTACACTTCTCTCTCAAGTGTGTCACACATTTTCAAAGGAATGAGTGACTTTTGCCTGGCGCAGCATTTTAATGGCGTCGCGGGTTGCGCACGGGCGTTGCGAGAGTTCAGGATTGCTAACCCTAATCACTTTCCTGCGGTGATGAAAACACGCGAAAATTCGCATCCTTTATACGGCACGCGCATGAAATGCTCCAAATAAGGCATCAAATGCCTTATTGGCATGAAATGCGCGCATGAAATGCTCCAAATAAGAAATCCGGGCGATGTTCGAAGACACAAATGCTTAGAAAGCACCACTGTAGTCGAAGTAAACAAACACGACGACACGGGCGTTTCTGCTGTCTTGAGCGTGCCGCCACGACATCGCCGAAAGAGTAGGTGGATCTTCGCTTCTAGTACGTGCTGGGTTATCATAGCTATAGTCGGTGACAGGTCAAGAACGAAGTGGAAGCTCCTCCCACCCCTTTCCATTTCAGCAGAGAGAACGTTGGAGAGGATGTCGCCTCCTCTCCAGCGTTCGCACTACTAAAGTGGAAAGAGGTGGGAAAAGCATCCACTTCGTTCTTGACCTGTCACCGACTATACACACAACGAAAATTCTTAAGGCCCATACGCACATTCGCGTTTGAGCGCGGTGCGTTCCGTAGCGGCAAGCGGACGCGTTGCGTTGCGAAGACCGCTTGCGCTAAACTTGTACGCACAGTTGCGTTGACACGCAGTCAACCGCAGTCAAGAGCCAATAAGAACGCGCTATCGTCGCTAGTGGCTCACCAATAGTAAGCGAAATCCAAGGCAACATGGCGGCGCACGGCGACAGCGTCGAAGCGTTCGATCTTGAGACAATAGGGAGTTTTCGTAGATCGTTTCCCATGTCCCGCAACGCTCTCCGCAACCAGCTACGCTAGCCGGAACTCTACAGTCAAGGCCATGGTCGCGCCGGCGCAGTAGCGGCTGCTTCGTTGCGGAGGGCTTAGCGGAGGGGGAAACGCGGTCTACGAAAAGTCCCTAATCTCGCCGGCTTCCCCGACGTTTTGTCAAGCTTGAACCATCGCAGCCTTGGAAAATACAGTCCCCACCGCTCCCCAAAACGAAAAAGCAAGCACTGAGACTGCTGAGACCGGCGAACCGGATACGTCTCGCCGAGTCGGCCGGGTGGGGCGAGCGAACACGTCACCCCTCGCCTCTTTCGGCTTCTGATTGGTCGAACGCGCCCGAACGCACCGCAACGCTTCGGAAAGTTGAACGAGTCTCTACTCGCTTGCGTCGCGCTACCGAGCGTTGCGGTAAGGCGCGCGTCGGTCCGCAAGCGACTGCGCCTGGCCGCAAGGACTCCGCAACGCACTCAAACGCGTTCAAACGCGAATGTGCGTATGGCGCTTTAGTCAAGGATAGCGCTTATACGCGAAACGATGAGCTTCCACCACGCCGGCTACGTCGATGATCACTACCGACTCCATGTTTGCCGATAGAAGAAGCCGGCCCGCGACCCGCATGTAACGCGCGCGAACACTTCTCTTCGACCTGCGATTGCTCTCTCGTTGCGGTTGTTTCCAACGCAGCGGAGGGACGCACGCACGTGACACGTGCGTGCGTCCTTCCGTCGCTATGGCAACTGAAGCCGCTCTCTTCACTTCTTCGAGCAACCTCCTTGCCCCGCGAGTGCCGCTCGCGGCTAGCGCCGTTATCTAGTGTCGCACAGGAAAGCGTGCTCGCTGCGCCGGCGCGGTCGGCGGGCTGTTCCAGAAACCGCACTATAACCGGTATTTCCCTTCGCGCGCATGCATTTTAAGCGGTATGTAATGACATGCGGTTACATTGTAAGTGGGCTATATATATATATATATATATATATATATATATATATATTTGTCACTCGAATTCTATACCACGGTACATCACAAAATCAACATTACAGAGAAGCGTAAACGTCTGTAAATTTTTAGGCGCCGGCATATACTAGGCTGCCTTTATTGCGTTCACCATCCCCAAACTTGATCGAACCGATCGCCAGAAATACCACTCTAAGAAGGCATCTGTTACAAGGCTTTAAATCAGAAATTATCTTGAATTAAAATTTAAGAAATCATCCGTATCTTGCAGGACTTAAAGAGTGTGACTAATCGTCCACGTGAAGCATCTGCAATTTTTTTCTGATGACTTTGCCATTGGTGTCTCTTGGTAACCTGTGAACAAACTTTACCCCTCCATGAAGGTGCATGTACTTTCCAAGTTGACCTGGAAAGAAATGGAAAAGCAAACTTTTACCTTCGAGTGCCTTTTACAAGAGGGTGATTCCGCGTCAGTTCATGCAATGATGGTCCGGGTAATAATTTAGATATTTTTGTTAAAAATATATATGAAAGCCATGTTCTTGGGAGGAACATTCAGCTAGATATGAACGCCGTAACAATTTTTTTTCGCTGAGATATAAAATAGAGAAGCTTGAGGCGTGGAAATTGAGAAGATTTCACAATGCTACTTTGCACAGTCGTCATTTCCTTATCGAACCTTTCACGGCACCATAACCTTTTTAATAGGTTTTACAAAGGTTATACAACACATTCATAAAAAATTAAAAATATCCATAAAATATTTCAATGCAAACAAAAATATCAAACATGGCACAAAAACGCGTTTTAGAAACATATTCACAATTTTTTTGCAAATAAACCATCTTTCATAATACTTCACAAAACATATCAAAATGCGCGTATTTAAATATTCTTTACGAATATATAAATATAATATGCCCACCCTTAAACATATTTTTGTTATCAACTCGGAAATTCGGCTGATTTCTCAAAATGTGGCAGGATTGGGCGTCGATATTTAAAAAACTCCATCTTTTATTTTATTTAAACTCCCCTTGGCAGTTTGCAGTGACTTGAACATACCTGTGATGGCAAACGATTGAGTAACATATGACATCCAAGCGGGAAAAGCTACGACAAACCTTCACTCGGAGCGAGCCGACGTCTTCGTCATAGCGGCTTTGCCGCACAGCACCAAACGTTTGGGCGTTAGTTATGGCATGTATTTTATATTATTAAAATTCTTTTTTTATACGCGGTGAGTATTAGTGACGTGAAAAGGAACTTTGAGCTGGAATACCATTAATTAGCTTACAATCCACAGGAATAAAACGGCCCCACTCTGCAAATTCGCTACCTATGCATCATACATAAGCTTAAAACTCTCACTTGTGCGAATGGCCATGTATACATCTGGCCTCTCGGCATATGATGACTTTCACAGATGAGTTTCCTGGATTCCTTTGACAGGTTTTACGGTGGTCCACTTTGCTTGCTTCACCGCACGAAACTCTCGAACTCGAAGACAGTTGTGAGCACTGCACAGAGTGGTTTGACGCGTTTTGCGAAGTGCTGAAGGCATGTAGTTCCCACCAGGAACGCAAGCGATTGTACGTGCTTCTGCCACCGATCATCCTGAAGAAAACAATATTGTGTCTGGTGTCGGGTGCGACTGCCTACATGATTGATCAAACATGAAAACTGAAGCGCAAATGTGGTGTTTGGGCAACCCCTGATCCCAACATGGGGAAAAAGGCGAATACCGAAGACGTGGGGGTTGCAATTGAGTACTACACACGCGACGACCTCGCATGCTCTGTTCAAAGCCCCGACAAAAAGGACGTCGTCAAAGCCATGATCAACGACATGTTCAAAGTCGTAAAAAGGTTTATGACCCGCTCTATTAAGGAAACTTACCAGCTGTTTAGGAAGGACCATCCCCAACCCGAACTAGGCATCTCCAAATTTTATTCCCTACGGCCAAAATGGGTAAACAAAAAAAGTCCCGAGCACGAGGTGTGCGCATGCATATATTGCGTCAATTTTCAGTTGCTTTTAACGGCAATAACAAATGCCCCAACGAAGACATTTACTGAAGACGACCTCAAGCGCATCTACCTCTTCTGCGCTCCACAGAACGATTGCTTTCTGCGCCGTTGCGAAAAGTGCCCAAAAACGCAGAGCATCTCGCTGCAGTCGCTTCATCTCGACGAAGACGAACAGATCTGTTTCGCGTTATGGGACGCTGGCGAACTCGTCAAAAAGGTTATGGACACTTCTGCCTTCCTGCGGCAATAGGAGAGCGAAAAGTATATGAGGCATTCTTACATCCTTGACCTTGAACGAAGCCTGATACATGACACAAGAACCGCCTTACCACCCTAGGCAGTGATGTTCCACTTCGATTTTGCGGAAAAATGGACAGTACTCTTTCCAACCGAAGTGCAGAGTTTTCATTGAAAAAAAAACTCAAGTGTCTCTCTCCACAAGTGTGGTTACGTCCACGCAAGGCACGCAAAGCTTTGCCGTTGTCACCGATGGTACACGACACATGACACAGCTCACGCTCTTCTAGCCACATAGGCCATAAAAGAGTATGTTGATGTTCATTTCCCAGTCTTTTTTTAAATAATTTTTGTATCAGACGGAGCGGCGGCGCATTTCAAGAATCGCTTCCAATTCCACGAATTGTCTCGGAAGCCGCACTCTTCGGCAAGATGGATCTTTTCAGCCACTGGACACGGAGAAAGCGCTTGTGATGAAGTAGGTGGAAGAACCAACGCTCACCAAGTTGAGATCTTCGCTCAACTCAACGATTGCCACCGCTAAAGACTTTGTGGAAGTGCTATGTAAAAAAGTAACAAATGTCTGCATGTTCAACCTGTCTGTGGAACGGGTTCGAGAGTTTCGTGCGGTAAAGCAAGCAGAGTGGACCACCATAAAACCTGTGAGAGGAATCCAGGCTTCTCATCTGTGGAAGTCATCATATGCCGAGAGGCCGGATGTATACATGGCCACTCGCATAACTGAGAGTTTTAAGCTTATCTATGCATAGTTAGCAAATTCGCACAGCGGGGCCGTTTTGTTCCTGCGAATTGTAAGCTAATTAATGGTATTCCAGCTCAAAGTCCATTTTCGCGTGACTAATACTCAGCCCTTATGAAAAAAAAATTTTAATAATATAAAATACATGCCATAACTAACGCTCAAAACGTTTGGTGCTGTGCGGCAAAGCCGCTATGACGAAGACGTCGGCTCGCTCCGAGTGAAGGTTTGTCGTAGCTTTTCCCGCTTGGAGGTCATATGTTACTCAATCTTTTGCCATCACAGGTTAGTTCGAGTCACTGCAAAGTGCCAAGGGAAGTTTAAAGAAAATAAAGATGGAGTTTTTTAAATATCGACGCCCAATCTTGCCACATTTTGAGAAATCAGCCGAATTTCCGCGTTGATAACAATAATATGTTTAAGGGTGGGCATATTATCTTTATATATTCGTAAAGAATATTTAAATACGCGCATTTTGATATGTTTTGTGAAGTATTATGAAAGATGGTTTATTTGCAAAAAAATTGTGAATATGTCTCTAAAACGCGTTTTTGTGCCATGTTTGATATCTTTGTTTGCATGAAATATTTTATGGATATATTTAATTTTTTATGTATGTGTTGTATAACCTTTGTAAAACCTATTAAAAAGGTTATGGTGCCGTGAAAGGTTTGATAAGGAAATGACGACTGTGTAAAGTAGCATTGTGAATTATTCTCAATTTCCACGCCTCAAGCTTCTCTATTTTATATCTCAGCGAAAAAAATTGTTACGGCGTTCATATCTAGCTGAATGTTCCTCCCAAAAACATGGCTTTCATATATATTTTTAACAAAAATATCTAAAATATGACCCGGACCATCATTGCATGAATTGACGTGGAATCACCCAAGAGATGAATAAAAAGACAACTGTGTGGTTAAAGCTTTAGGAATCTATAAACAATAAAACTCTTTACCCTATTTTTCCAGTTTTACTTTAATATATGCCGTAATTCTCAACTGTCTGTGTTTATTATATCCATGAGCTGTAAATAGTGTTGAGATTAATTGTCACCTGCGACGAAGTTTTGGAGCATTGCCTCGGTGATTTTCCCGCAAGATTCTGTCAACACAACAAACGCCATGGCCACTTCTTCATACTGTGGATGAGGAACACCGATGACAGCCGCCTCTGCGATTCCTTCGTGGTTGAGCAACACGCTCTCAATGGAGGAGGGAGCTACTTGGATACCCATGCATCGGAAAAACTGGCTCATTCTCTCAACGTGGAAGAACTGGCCATCTTCATTGTAATAGCAGATGTCACCTGTAATTACCATGTTCCGATCATCTCCGCAATGGCGGTTTATCAATTTATGTAAACCAAAAATAGCTGCGAGCTCTAAATAAGTAAAAGAAACTACACTCTGTTTGAATGATTATGCACTTTTTGGCGTTAAAGCATCCTAGTATGAAAGAATAAGAATGCAGTTTCAGGGCGTAAAAATGTGATTTCGATTTATTCGCGCGCACCCCTGCACATTTGTTACAACCGGCTCTCACGTAACCCGCTATACCGTTCTGGTTCGCCGCAGTCCTCACCTATAATATAGGCCACCACAGATGTCCTCCATAGTGTACTGGCGCTTCAAATGAATAATGAGGAGAAGGAGCCGTGCCAGACACCGAAAATTCTGCTGAATTTGCAAGAGGGTACATGGAAGCAACCTTCAGTACAATGCAGCTGCCCCTGAGATTTTGATGGTCTCAGTAGCAGCTGTTGCAGCTGGACTTCATCTCTATTTTTTAATGCGTAAAAGGTGATCACCTCGGATCCCACAAAGAGCGATGCACCCCTTTCTTTTAGTTCATTTGCGGAATATTCACACGAATATTACAGTAAAAAACAACCCAAGTAGCATGATTTTTTTACCAAAAAAAGAACCAAATCTACTATTCTTTTGCCACGGCCTTCTTATCTTTATTCTTAATCACCAATAAAGTAGCATAGTTGTGCATCTGTGCCTAGTTGTTTGGTTTTTTGTGTCAGCTGACATATCTAAGTTTCAACCCTCAACCAGATGACACAGTTTCGTATCACTTGGTTGTTCGATGACACAGTTTGGTATCACTTGGTTGTTCGGTTGTAACCTGGCATTTATGGCCGGCTTTAATCTCTGAGCGATTGAGTGACATACCCAAGCTTCTGAGGGCGATATTGTTCATGTAGGAGGGTAAGATGTTCCGGCAATGTAGGAAGCTCTGATTTTATTAAAGGTTTCGACTTGCTGACTGCCGTTGGCGTCTAGACTCCGTCTCACTTGAAGTATGAGCGCAGGTGAAGATTCAAGAGCAAGCTCTGTACTTTCAGCGCCCTTGCCAAGCATGCGAGCTCGTGCGGTGCAACCATCTTTCAGGGAAACCTGCTCATGCGTGTAGCTTCGGTTTTTCTCGCACCTACATTAAGTCACACTCTAGTTTCATCGTCTTCAAGAACATTAAACAAGCTTAAGATGTCTCTCGTACGCAGGCTTGGCGTACACAAACATACGTGCATGTTTCCAAGTCTTCAGGCCTTAAAGGTTCAAGTATGTCAGGCGTCGGGGGCATGTGGGTTTAACATGTGCGAAAACTTGCGAAATTGATTAATGGAGGTGAACAGTGATGACGTTTTTTCGCGCGATGTAGACCTGTAATAATATTTGAAGGCCAAAGAAGGCTTAGCAGAACTTTACTCATTCGTTGGAGTGTGCGGCCCTTCTGTTCTAAAGGTTGACTTTACCTGCCGATGGAAATACTTCATTATACTGTTGGCAGAGGAGTGGTAGGCGGTGGACGGGATGTTTCGTTCTCAGAATTTAACTTTGGTAAATGTTCCGAATAATGCAGACTTCAACTGCCGTTTTTTGTCGTTCGTGATGAATGATGCACATGTGTAATTGGAAACCCAATGAATTACAAGTGTCGGCTACGGTACTAGGCTGTGGTGTCCGCGAGTAGTATCACCTCCGTTTATCTTGTATCACACTCACACAATTGAAAACCTACGTGAAACCTTCCATGGCGAAAGGGTTTTAACAGGGGTCAGGTAAACATAATTTGCCTTCGGCAGCCAAAAGTAATCCAGAAGGTCAGAATATGTTTGTAATGCGGTTTACTTTAGGTACGATCAAATCCCATGCAACAAGGAGAAACATGTTGCCGTTAGTAATGCTTGCCCTACACGGACATGCGTACTTGGCAGGGACGCTGAACGCCCAAAGTTTGCTTTTATTGTTTCTTCTTTGTATAGGGGTTTTAGTGCGATGGCACTAAAGTCCGCTTTGGTCCACCGACGCCAGCATTTATACTGGTCCATACATAGCGAGCAGTGGCCAGGCGGAGTGTGCAGCAGGCTCGAGTATAACTTGCATTTTAAGACTCAAATATTTCTCTTCAAAATGTCAGGGGAGCTAAGAGGCGCGGTGTGATAGTTGAGGCATGGCATGTGCTTTGTTACGTGTCTTGCGATAATGGAATGGTTCTCCGTTCAAGCGAAGATTGTCATTGTTGATCTTTCGATAGGCCTTGGTCATCGTGATCAGATTGGGTCATTGCTTGAAAAATCCCCGTGAAAGATTCAATACAGAGGACCTTCACTCCATAAAGATTGTCGCAGACAATTTTTTTAATATTTGCACGTGCCGGATGTCAACACTGAATTAGGAAATAAATTCAAGTTCGTGACATTTACGAGCAGTGCATCGTGCGTGTTCTCCAAGTAATGCTAAAGTAAAACGTTTGTAAGTCCTTCGTATGCACGACATGTTTTCGAGGATTTGACGGCCAGGAGCTCTCAACCGAACGTGCTATATTTGTCTGGCTTGTGTTATTGTGCGGGTTAAGAAACCGAGCGGACCTCATTCTCCATCAATGTTTTGCTGCACGAGAGCACCAACCCCGACATCTGAAACATCTGTCACTAGTTAAGTGCAAATATCAGTTTGACGATGGGCAGTTAGTGTAGCTTCGACCAGAACGTTTTTACTCTTTAGTCGGAAGGCGCCGCTTCATCTGGCGAAGCGATTGCTCCGCTTGATTCTTGTCTTCCAATGATGCAATGATCAAAAAAGTCTACTTCTGAAACTACAAGAATACATGTGTTTAGGTTCAAGATTTAAAAAATGTGGTCGAAAAATTGCCGGAGATGTTGTATAAGTTTGCGAATTCATGCTCTCACGAGAAGCTGATCAACGCATCAGCAAGATAAGCAAGATAAGGTCAAGACCTGCTCTCACCTTGTTTATAAAAATGTATGCATTGTTGCGCCACAAGCATAGCATTCAAGCTTACCCGAAGAGTTCAAAAGAATTGGCAATTGAGGTCTGCGACATCTCTAAAGGTTCAGCAGGGTATCAGATCATAAGCCGTGATTCATTCAATGTTGTTACAAACATATTTACAAGCAAGAATTTTGTAAAACCACGAATGTGCGGGACTGGGTACCAGTTAAGTACGGTTGTGTCCGTTGTGAGCACAATAATCTTCACACGTCTGTCATGGTGTGTATTGTTATTTCACATTCACTTCCTGTTTTATATGGTGTCCTACCCATCTCCGTTTTAAGAAACTTAACCTCTTTCTGTTCTTTTTTGACTACGTCACATAAAATCAGTTGATCACGAGATACCGGACGAGATGGTCGTTCTTCTGTAGTGGTACGCTTGCTGCTGAATTCTAGATGCAAGTCACCAGCAGTGACCTTTAAGACCAGGTCAACGACAAAACATAATTTTCTTTTTTTTTTTTTTTTTCCGAAATCTAGCATATAATTAAATTCCGGATAAGCGGTGGAAAGACTTTCAGTTGTAAAACGGTATAGGCGAGCAAACACAGGACGCCCATGCGTAACAGAACAATGTTTGGCAACATGATAGACCGTTTGATCCAAACTTGGACGTAGTTCAACTACTCTACTCAAACTACTGTAGTTTAACTACTTTTTCGAGTAACTTGGTAACTTTCAATTACAACTTGATTTGGGTAATTAGTAGTTTAATTTAACTACTTTTTCAGGTAACTTCTACTCAAATTACTAACTACTTTTGAAATTTAATAGTGCTAATTTTGCCGATCACGAAAGTTTGAGCGCAGAAATGAATAAGACGCCGGCAGATAAAGTGGCATTCCATAACAAGGGGCCCCCTTGTTCGGGAAGGCGTCCTTGGGTCAAGGTGGCGACGAGCAGCCAAAACATAACACCGGCACGCACGAACGCAGGAAGAGATGCTTAACAAGCCTTGGTCGGGTATTGACCTAATCCGGTAATGCACGCAGGCGCCGCGTTTCCAGCTGCAACCGTGAAAGACGGGGACACTCCGAGAGTTGTTGTCTGTCTTTAGTGAGTTCTGACTCAAGCGGTAGGTTCCACGGGAGGCGCCACTGGAATGACTTCGCAGCTGGGTGCCTGTTCCCATGGTCGCCTCGTCGTCAGCGCATACGCCTTTGCAAAGCCGGACTCCCCCGCGCACAAACCCTGGCACGGATAATTCGTTCATGGGAGCACGTTCCCGCTTCCAGCTGCAACTGTATACGAGCGACGATGATTGTTCACGTAATTCTTCGCGTCCTTCCGACCATCCATGCCTGGGAGACCTCCTCTTTGTTGAAAACGATTTACTTGTCAGGCGTGTCAGGCGCGTCAGAATATTGTAGTCGCCTGCGAGGATTGCGAGTTACCCTTGGGAGATCCTTTTGTTGGACCCGGCGTCAGCGGCGAAGTATACTTCGGTTCATCTTCTGTTAAACCAAAACATTTTTTTTTCCAGTAGCGTAACACTAGCACTACAACGGAACGCGCAGTCGTCCGGATGATCTCATCGTCGTATCGCGAGACTTGAACCCTTGAAGGTCTGGTGCACTCTACCAGCGTACTCTCAGAACGACGTCGGAATAAAGAGGGGCCAGTCATAACAATCTCAACTTGGCGAAGAAAAAAGAAAAAAGGAGGAAAGTTTGTTATAAAAGATCCTCTACCCGAGGCAAGCCTCACATGTTCCGCCATGGACACCTAAGATGCCGACACTCGCTTACCCGACCCTGCACAGCCTGTTTCTCAAATTCAACGCTGCCGTTCCATTCACTGCAACGGTGGAACTAGTGCCACTAAATAAGCTACGCTTCAGAGTAACGACACTTGGCCATATTGTGGCTTAGAATCATGGTTGCCAGTTATCTGACGCTTTATCTGAAATCATAGGAAACGCTTTTCTGCCCTCAACAAGAATTAAACAGTTCGCTACAGAGAAAATCAATATTACATGAGCGTCCTAGCACCGAGTATAATGCTGAGGGAGTCTCACTTTTGAATCATGACGATTGGCAGTTGCGTCTGCTCTGCACAAGCCCCAAAATGGCGGCGCTCACAACAATGTCGGGGAACGGAGTGCCGATACTCTAAGCGCAGCTCATTTAGTGGCTCTAGGTGGAACGTCTATTTAGCTTGGCTGGGGACGTCTTTAGAAGAAAAAGGGGAAAGTTCTCCTATCAAGAACTTTGAAAGTCAATTGCTTCTGCGAGCGAATAAACTATTTCGGCGAAAACGCAAGCTATAAATAGACTGCATTTATTTTAGGCTCGCAGGGTTTTTCAATGATCAAAACTGCTGTTCATTTTGCTTCCACAAAAATATAAAAAAAGTAACTTCGACAGTAACTTCGAAAGTAACTCGCTACGTTTTAGAGTAGTTAGTAGTTTACTCAATTACTATTACAAATGAGTAATTTCTACTCTACTCCAATTACTTTTGGCGTCGATACTCAGTAACTTAACTTAACTACCTTATTTGAGTAATTTGTACATGTCTGGTTTGATCTAAGCCGTCTGGCTCTTCGAAGGCAAGGTAAGGAATATACCTTATATTGCAAGTAACAATCTCCTTATTAATAAAAAATGTTATATTTTGAGTTATCCTATTAACATGCACTAACTTATATAAATTGTATAGGGAGTGTATAAGTTCTTATCTTATATCTTACCATATTCTTATCGACCACATTCATATATAGTTGTTCTTTTTGATAACAGAATGCGCCTGTGCTAAAATAAAAACGTTTCAAGTTTCACCTCGCCACGTAAATAAGTAATGGCCGTCGTCTACCTGTTCGAACCCATCCATCGGGAGTAATCGCTTGTGACGTAGCTTCCGGATTTCCGTAATAGCCCCGCATGGAAGACGGCGACTTCACTAGTGCTTCTCCTTTCTCGTTTGGCCCGAGCACTTTCCCACTCTGGACGTCCACAACCTGAAGAGAATATATATATGTATATAGATATAGGAGGAAGGAGCAGAATCTTGAACGCAAGAAAAAACTTCGGTAAATAAAAATGTCAACAGAAAACTACTTGGAAACTTAGAACTAAACTTTAAAATTTTATTCTCCAACGGTTTCGCCGGGAAGGTCCGGCTTCGCCAGGGGTTTGTCGTACGGTGCCGCCTCAGTGGCTCCGAGAAGAGAGCGCCGGCCTACGAATACCCGTGTGGCAGGTTCGAATCCCAGCCGAGGTGCCCGCAATCTGATGGAGGCTTATTGCGGAGAAGGCGCCGTGTAACCAAGCTTTCGGTTGCACGTCAAAAGATCCCCAGGTGGTAGGATTAATCCTCAGTCCTCCGCTGGGGCGTGCCAGATGCCCGCCGTTGGTTTGGCACGTAAAACCCCCAATATTTGAATTTTTTTTTGTCATACGGTAAAATTGTATTCGCGAAGACATCAGCAGAGGCACAAGAGTAAAGTAAGGGAAAGGAGGAGACAACGCCGCATGTGCAAACACATAACGAAACAAATCCCAAAATGGGCAGGATAGAGGAAGAAGTCGCAAATAAAAAAATAAGAATAAAAAACATGTTTTTGTTTACTAATTTTGAAGAGGCATGTGCACACACGCTAACAAGAAGCTGAAACACGTTTCGCGTCGGTCCCGGCCCTCCCGGCGCGCGGGAGATTCGAGAGGTGATCGGCATGACAAAAGAGAGCGCCGCAGAGCGAAGCGTAAATTTAGAGAGCCCAGCCGTAGGCGCCGACGATGTAAAGGAAGCTTAGAAACACAGAGCATGATAGCAAATGTAAGTATCGACCACACGAACACCCTGCCCGTTTCAAAATCTCAAGGTGTGACGAGAGCTGTAACAAAAAACTGGCCTCTGCTTTTATTTATTCCGGCGGACAGTGTGTTGAATTCATAGATTAAAATATCATTCGAGCGCCTCGCGGTCGAATGATATATCCTCCAGTGAAGACTGAACGCTTCACTGGAGGATGGTTGCCGTTTCGTTCTGAATTGTATGTTCAGGGAGTAGCATGTGTTTTGAGAAAGGGACATCGGGAGTAGATTTTATATAAAGCTTACTAAAACGGAAAGTTGGGCTAGTTATTCGCGCTGTTTCTCAATATAGATTTTACATGAGCCTTATGTTTGTTAAAGCGCAACCGAAACGGGGTTTCTGTTTGTCCAATATACTGCATGTTACATAGCGCCCAATGCAGTAAGTATACTACATTCCGTGAGTCGCAATTGAAGGTACCGTTTATGCTGTAGACAAAATTTGATTTCAAGCTAGTGGCTTTGCTGGTTGGAACCATAGGGAGACATAGCTTGCAACCTGACATGGCCCGGATCTATTACTTATATATATATAAATAAAACAGCATTTTGGTCATTGCTTTCCTTATGTGGCAGGTATTGATAACCATTTTACCGAAAGGTTGAGCCCCCACTAAATTGTTGATACAAAATAATGAATCAAGTTCACTACAATGTTTGTAGTTCTTAATTATATATTGTAACAGAAAAGAAAAAGGAAGAAAAAACAGGAACAGGCGTGTGTGGAACTGAGGACTGAGTGTTCTGGGGCGCCCGTTTTGCCCATGAGCTCAGACGCCCGCGTCATTTGGTGGCAGTGGGTGGATTACTCAATGGCAACCAAATCAGAGGCAAATGGCATGATATCCACTTCTTTGGCGATGCGAATCACGGAGGGGTTAGCTGCTTTACTCACCGCAAGGAGTTCAACATACACCGTGAACCTGCTTGGGACCCTCGCCAATGGCCTAGCAGCCCGTCTAGCAATGTTGAAAACTGCTGTCGAACGTGAGGCGGCTGATGTCAGGAAACGCCTCGATTTTTTCGCGCCTTTCGTGCGTAAAATCTTAGTTTCTACAGGCTGAGCACCACTGATTGCCACTCAAGCTACCGAAATTCGAAGGTCAGTCGTCTCAGCAAGCCTTTATCATCCAATAGACCTTTCCGGATAATCCAGGAGACCTTGTGGGGCTGTACGAATGCACGCTCGTACCGGCTCGAACGCTTCATGTATTCTGGTAAAGGCACGATTCGTTCTTTCTTGTCGTTAAGCGCTCAGAACACACGCAAACATTAAGCGAACGAAAAAGAAAGTCATCACATACACTATTTTGCTTTTCTTTCGTTTTCTCTGCGTTTTAAACCACGAACTGTTAAACCAATATCAAATTCGCCTTCGTCACAATGCGCAAACGTCACAATGCGCAAAGCAGACGCTGGGGGCACCGTATATTACCGGCAAGATTATTTGAAGCTGTTACTTTTATGGTTTCGACGCAACGTCTAAAACAAGGGCAACGGTGGCCCAGTTGAGGGTCAACGCTCCTCAGTGTTTAAATGGCGTGTCTGCAACAAGTCGTTCCTCATACCAGCTACTCTTAGAAGCCCTAAAATTCCGCTTTGGTGATGAACGTCTTGTTCATCACCAAAGCTTGTTCATCGCCATAACCTTCTAGTTTGTATTTGATCATTTCGGCTGCTAATAACCTCAACGCTGTCACTATCACATTTGCGACATTCATGATCTGAAGCCAAATTATTTTATAGGTTTCTTCAGCATTCTCCTCCCTAAAGATGAATTCCAGGGGCAGAAGTAGCACCTCAGATAAAATTAACTTTGTGGTTACATCTTGTACATTTTATGAGTGCCATACATAAACGGTTTTTTTTTTCTTTTTTTTTCTCTTTTTTACGAAGGAAACTATTTCCCCAACCAGTGACTGCCGTTTGGACTGGACATGATTTCCAAGCATGTAAATGAGCATAGTTATGTTCTGGCAGAGAATCATATGTACCCGCTGTTCACAGCGAGTCAGTAGTTTGCTGCTGCAGCCGATGGCCGACTGGTAGGAAGGGGAACAATCTGTTGAGCAGGAGGAAGTCGACGCGACAAGGACATTAATGAAGCGCTGAAGTTGCTGAATGCAGCTGCATGCTTCGGTGTCGTAAAAGGGCACCTTAGGGCATAGGCAACTTCCTGCTGAATGTCTATCGAGCACTACCAGGGTCGGTACCCAACCTCTTCTCATAAATGAGTGACTATGATGCCTGGGAGAACCACATCTATGTCAGGAATGTTGCAAACGAGTGGACTAACAGCAGAAAGCATCTCTTCCCGCTGACGTGACTGTATAAATTCGCTTTTATGACCTCCCGGCATCTGGGTGTGAAAGGCCGTTCATCGCTGTTCCGCCTCTGCGACCATGTCAAAGAGCTGCAGTTGCCCTACTCATTGAGAAGTTGAGGCAGCCAAATCCTGCATGCGACACACTGTTGCAGACAACAGTATGACATGAATGAGTACGACCGGACATAGTACCTGTTCATAAAAACATTAGCCAGACTGCTTCAAGACAACTGCGACACCCTGATTGTTTGTCGAGTTCAGCGACGACCTGTACTCTTCGCTGCCCTGTCCGTCGCTGCCCTGTCCGTCGCTGCCCTGTCCGTCGCTGCCCTGTTCGTCGCTGTACTCTTCAGTGCCCTGTTTATTTGGCTGCTCGAACATCTTTGGCTACGGCAGTAAATGCTCGCACCACTGCAATCACTTAAAAGGAAGTCATTTATGACCTGAGCGGTTTTTGTTACAACACTGGCCCTCCTCTCGTGTCCTCGTAACAGTGTCTTTCTCCTGCGCACATACATGAAGCTTATGACACACTAGTTTGCATTCACAAGCTTACGAGTCGCACAACGTCTAAGCTTGGAAATATAGAAGTACCTTGGGAAGGCTAATTAGCGACTATGAAACTTCGCAAAAACTTCAAAACCTGATGGCTGGAATGTACTTCAAAGTGGACCACTGGGAGATAATTTGTTCACAAGCAAAGTTGTTTCCTATAAGTAAGCACAAGCTTGCACTCCAATTTTCCTCTTCCGCCAAATGTATGTGGAGCATTTACTGTACGCTATACGCGGTTGGTCAGAATGATTTTTTCTTTTTAATTTTTGCATCTCAGCTTTACGTAAACATCACTTGGAGTCTTTCAGGGCCTCTTGAAGTGCAGTGCCACCTCCATACATTTATTTTTTGTTGCCCCTTCAGAGCCACATGTTGGTGTATGTACCCAAATAAGTGGCTCTGGTATGTATGTTTGTTTGTCAATAGCTTGAGCCATTCTTTGTTTGCAGGTCCTATGCTGGCAGTGCTTTATAATGAAAGGACAAACAAGGATTCTTATGCACAAGTTTCAGTCAATAAATTCATTTCTTTCGGAAGAGCGACAGGGCAATATTGAGGATCATGCACTTCCGAGGGTGCAGTGAGTAATGAAATGATAACAAAGCAAGCAATACGCTCCACCATAATTTTAGCACAGGGTTCAGATCAGTTCGTAACAAAATCGAGATAAGAAAACAGGTATTTTAATTAAGAAAAGAAACAGACAGGACATGCCATTCACAAAAAATGTCACTTAGAAACGCAAGAATCAAAGAAAAAAAACTTGTAAAATAATGAAAAAAAGCATTCTCCCATAGTTAATTAGAAGATCACTTAAGCGCATACAAGACAAGGATGGAGGAAGCTGCACATATGAAATAGACGGTCGCTTTGCACACCTTCCTTCGTCTTTCCTTATTCCACTGCTTTAGATTTAGGTCATCATGAACTGATAGCCCAAGTAAACCATAGATAACATCACACTTACTTTTAATTTAGGTACAAACATCAATTAAACAAAGCTTTTCAGTTGGGAAATATATAAATGATTGTTATTAATGAACTGTGGCTCACTATGTGCTCAAAAATTTGAAAATGTGCACACTGTGCAAAATACGTAATTTCCCCGTTCTATTGGCGCCTCGAGGAAGAACGATCCTATAGACCAACACTCAGCTCTAACGTCACATTCCTGCGGTGGCGCTGTTGTCGTCACGGCGCATGCGCAGAAGCTTCACCTAATGCGAATCTGGTTTCTGCGCTTGCGCAGTGCCCACACCTCAG